TCTAGTCTTCCCAGTTCTGCCTTGAAGAGGCAACTGAGATATTTCAACCCATTAACCAAGATAATAAAAATAAAAGATTGATAATAGTAAAGTCATCTTCAAGTTGACTTGTCTTGACATCAAAATGGCTTATTCTTGCTTTCTTCTGCTATGTTCTTTTGGAGATTTCTGAGATTTTTCTGGTCTTCCATCCAGGTAGTAGATCTGGCCCTGCTTCTTTTCCTAGATGCTGCCATCTGTTTGTCAGCTGATTATTACCCCAACTTAGATTGAAAAGTGGAATAAAAACTCTCAGATAGATCTTATGAGACTATATATTTATATATTGTGTACTTATAGTTTAAATTTCTCTTTTCTGTTAATGTGTTTTTGGGATTAGTGATATGTGTGAACAGAAAAGTGAGAAGCCAACTCAGTGAATCAAGCCCTCCAGTGTTCAAAATGAAGCTATATTTCCATAAATGAATATACATGGAACACTAATAAGTATGCATATTGTTGTTTGCCTGAGCTTTAAAGTGGGTTTTGCATTATGTTTAAATATGTCTATGAAATATTCATTACAATGTTCTGTTCTGCTTGATTATATTTCCAGATCATTTAAACGATGCTTTGCCATCTCCATTTTCAGATTTAGAATGGAATAACTTTAATGCTCCTATTAGTAGCAGACAACTGGTTTTTTATTTGTAATGTATTTTTTTTTGTTTGGGTTTCTGAGTTTTTTCCTATAATATTTTTCTTTGTAAAAAAATGTAAGTGTTAAAATAAATGTGTTGGGCTGAAAAGAACTTTTCTTGCTTAGTAAATTTCCTTTTATACTGCAGTTGGCAAGAATAGTCAAATCGCCGCAATTCTAAAGTATTAAATCAGATGTTAGATTAATTTACCATATTTCCTAACATAGATTTCCCCAATTTTTCCAATGTATAGTCCAAGCATACACATTATTTCCATTCAGAATTGCTTTTTATAAAACACCCAGTTATCTACATTGTAAATAAAAAGCACATGAAAGCAAGGTTTTTGAGAAGTATCTCTTATTACAAACAAATACAAAAAAAGCAGAAGAACTATTATATGAGAAGAACTGAACTGGGCAAAAGAAAAACTGTGTTTACCTAAAATATTTTATCCCATGTTTTGGCTACCTAGCAGGTAATGTGGTTAACAGTAAAACAGTATTCATCTCAAAGATACTGTCTGTATCAATCTATCAATCAACCAATCGATCGATTGATCGATCAATCAATCCTCAGTAAAAAATCGATCAATCAATCAATAAAAAAATTAAATAAAACTAGTATGAAAAAAAATCTAGTAACAAGGATGGCAAGATTTAGTCTGAGAACTGAAAATAATATAAAACTGATTGCACAAAATGGGAGTAGCTCAAAAGTTTCTTCTGAGTGGACACTAATTGGGTTTCAAAGAGTGGAGCAGTGGTGAATTTGAATGGGTGGGGGGTCATAACTTTCCTTATTGTTCATCTTGATTCAGGCAGAATCAGGCTGTGTCAAATTATTTTGGGCTTTACAGTCCATAATTGCATTTGGAAGTAAACTGATAATTTCAGAATTTACCAATTATTATGTGGGGCAAAAGTAAGTCTTTAGGTCTTTAGCTAATAGAAGGGGGCATAGATTTGTTAATCAATGAATTGATCCAAAAATGCTTTTAAATTGTCTTTGTATTACACAAATATTTAAACATTAAATTATTATGTCTGAAGAGGTCCTCTCAATGATTAAGGAAAGGTTACACTATAATATCTTTCAGTCTGCAGCAATATATATTATATGCCATCAAATCAATGTTGAATCTTAGTAGGTGCATAATTTGCTCCTTGACAATTTGTCCTAAACTGTTTTTCAGGTCTTCCAATGGTGGACTCATTGCTACTATAACTTTGCTGCTGGTTGTCTTTTTCATCTCTTTCCTTCTGCCTTTCCCAGGATTAGAGTCTGCTATAGGAAGCCAGGTCTTTGCATAATGTGCCTGGTCATTTGTCCTTTGTGTGAGAACTCTAGGTTGATTTGTTCATTGTTCCATTTGCTTGTTTTCTTGGCTATCCATGGTATGTGCAGGAATCTTCTCCAAGAGCAAAAATATCAATACTCTTCCTATCTGCTTCTTCAAAGTCCAACTGCTATAATTTGTATGATTCTGATCTTTATGGGTTTAAATACTGTACATCATGACATTTGACTATCTTTTCCAAGACTTTCATGGTTGCTCTACCATGTTTTAATTTTTATTTATTTATATATGTATGTATGTATGTATGTATGTATGTATGTATGTATATATAACAAGACAATTCTATACACATTACCATACTGATATGTGTAGGTATGTGATAAACAGTGATACCAAAAATTGAGTAAGAAGGACACAAAATAATTTTTTAATCTGCTTCTAGCTTTACATTAAAAAATGAGCACTGATCTCATAAAGGAAATTCTAATATATATATATATATATATATATATATATATATATATATATATATATATATATAGAAATATATATTATATATATATATATATATATATATATATATATATATATATATATGTAGGTCTTTGGTTGTTCGGGTTTTCTCCCACGTAAAAATTGGAAGTGTCTTGGCGACGTTTCGACGAAGTCCCATTCGTCATCTTCAGGCTGGTGTTTTCAGCTTCGTGCTTTGAGCAGCAATGTGTGGTCTTAGCTGTTTCTTCCTTTTAACTGCCAGTGGGGGTATGAACTGATTGGGTGGGAGCTTGGCTGTGTTCTGATTGGGTGGAGGTGTGTTCTGAATGGTTAGGGGCTTGGCTGTGCTCTGATTGGCTGGGGGAGTGTTCTGTTTGGTTGTGCTCAGGTTAGTCTGAGTTGCAGAGGGGTTTGAGATTTTGGGCTGCCTTCTTATTTTTTGGCTTCCAACTCTGCAGCCACCAAACGGATCCGCCGGGGCCCAAGAGAACAGGGCCATATGGAGGGAATCCCCTCTCGTCAGCTCGCTGCTATGGCTACCGGGAGACCGGCAAAAAATAAGAAGGCAGCCCAAAATCTCAAACCCCTCTGCAACTCAAACTAACCTGAGCACAACCAAACAGAACACTCCCCCAGCCAATCAGAGCACAGCCAAGCCCCTAACCATTCAGAACACACCTCCACCCAATCAGAACACAGCCAAGCTCCCATCCAATCAGTTCATACCCTCACTGGCAGTTAAAAGGAAGAAACAGCTAAAACCACACATTGCTGCTCAAAGCAAGAAGCTAAAAACACCAGCCTGAAGATGACGAATGTGACTTCGTCGAAACGTTGCCAAGACACTTCCAATTTTACGCGGGAGAAAACCCGAACAACCAAAGACCTATATATATATATATATATATATATATATATATATATATATATATATATATATATATTAGAATTTCCTTTATATATATATTATTCTAACTTCAGAAGAAAGTAAATTTTAATTCTTTTCCACTGCAAGAAATATTTCACTGCCAGGCAAATGTGGTTCATGATTTAAAATATTAATTATTGTTTATATGCTATCACAAACACTTAGTGACCCCATTGACAGAATTTCTCCAGAATTAGCAGCTTCATATCTTCCAATGGTGCACCCCTCACTGCTCTGAGTCAATCCATTTTGTTGCTTCTTTCTTTATTTTCCAATAACGTGGATTTATTAAGGGAGCTACATCTTTATTTTTGTATAATGTGTGAGAATTTTAGTTTCTTATATTATACTTCTTTCTCTTGGTCTGAAGTGCCATGACATAGCAGCACATACAAACTAGTGCCTGGATGACAATCTATATGTAGCTCCTTAATTACCATGTTAGAAGACTGGTGGAATGCTAATGAAATAAATAATTTAAAATGTTATTTTCTTTCTTGCTTTCCATGCTTTAAAAAAATAAACTCAGACACTACTTTCATTTCAAGATAAATCAGGATATTGGAAGGAAGAAAATGACATAGGATTCTTAATTTACCTAATTTGCAACCTGTCATTGTTTAAAATTAATGGATTAGACCAGTATTTCTCAACTCTGACAACTTTAAGATCTATTCACTTCCAATTTCAGAATTCCCCAACCAGATACTTGAGGAATTCTGGGAATTGAAGATTACTCACCTTAGAGTTGTCAGTGTTGAGAAGATTAGATAGTATATAGGCTATGGATGTTGGACTAAAAGTAGCTCCACAGCTTTATACAAGCAGTATGTATTATATGACAGAGCAGTTAAGTTTATTGCTGGGATATATAATCTAATCCCAGTAAAATACTATTTATGCTAATCTTATAGTCTCCATTATGCATCAACAATTCTTTAAAAAACATCTCAGCAATTTTCTTTTTTTGTTTTAGATATTTTTTTTGTCTCTCAGGCATCTAGTCAATAACTAGGTTATTTATTTTAAAAATTTTGTTGGAAGTATGATATTTACATTTTAATTTTATTGGTGACCCAAAGTGAGGAGGAGTAATATGTTCCCACTGAGTGGGAAGTGAGCAATGCTGAAGTAACCTACATGTATGAATAGAGTAATATGAATGACTTACCAATGTAACTGAGCTCAGAATTACAATCATAACTTGTGGTGGTTGTTAAGTAGGTCATCATGTGATTGAGATCTTTTTTTCAATTCCTGAATATTACTTTAAAACATGTGCCATTGTATCTATTTCCTTTGTCAGCTGTAAAATCAGAGTATAGGGATATAATCCGGGAAATTTGTTCTGCATTTGCACTGTTCTTTGAATCTAGATTTGTGCCTGGTTGTTTATGCATGTAAGCATGGATAATACTGTTTCTAAAGCATCTGTTTTTATTGTTTAAGATAAATATTTATAACACAAAAATTCAAGCAACTTATTTCAGCTCCTACTAAAAAGGCAGTTCCTGTGATATTCTAATCAGGCGAACTAATTGTCATACAATTATCTTGGTATGAAGTAGTAATATAGTTTTATTTATTTCCCATTCAGCCCCTGTGCTTCCTGGGGCCTATCAACAAAATCAACCCCAAGGATATGGTTACATGCACCAGACTAGTGTGTCATCTATGAGATCAATGCATTCGCAGCCACATTCAGCTAGCTTGGTGAGTATTAAATTGAAAGATATTTAAAGATAATTTTGCTATATTTAATACTTTAAAAAGTTGCCAGGATGCAAATTTCAAATTAATTATGAAGAGATAGTATAAATGAATGTATTTTCTTTTTAGATGAATGTCTGTAGGAATAAAATAAAAAAAGTCAAGATGGGCAAATGCAACCCTGTGATTGGAGCCCTGCTATTTGATCACATGATTGTTCCTACCATCTTAACATTTTTGATTACAATTATGGACATTCCTGAATGACTACAGATTTCTTCTTTGAAAAATGTTATACACAAAAGGAAGACTTGCAGAGTCCTTCAGCCAGCAATTTTAGTCACATAAAAGTTTTATGGATGGTGTGTAGATAGATGGATATATGCTTATAGAAATTGTTGTATTAATTGGTCAGTAGCTGCCTTTCAATGGAATAGGTTTAATGGACTTTCCTCTATTTTCTGTTAACAGAGAACTTATAGAGCTATGTATGACTATAGTGCCCAAGATGAAGATGAAGTTTCCTTCAGAGATGGTGACTACATCATCAATGTACAACCTATCGATGATGGTTGGATGTATGGTACAGTTCAGAGAACTGGGAAAACTGGAATGCTTCCAGCAAATTACATTGAGTTTGTTAATTAGTTCAGCATTAATTCTTATGAGCATTTTGATTTACCTATAATCTTTTTAAACAAAGTATTTTTAAAACCACAACTTTATGATTTCCCTGTTAGTGTAACAATCTGTGATCATATGCTAAAGTCAACATATAGTCCAATAAGGAATCTAGGAATACTGAGCTCTGGAAGCATGATATTTAAAGTGATTTATAAAAACATATTGATGGTGGAAACTGGATTAATTTCATTTAACTCCCAAATAGAATCCTGCTTTTACAGTAGGTTGTTTCTCATTTGAATTATAAGTATAAAGCAACCGATATTTTTTTATTGTGTGACTTTGAAATTGTAAGAGATATAGCTTGCTGTTGAGGTTTGAGTTATTAAAAATTCAAGTGCATTGAGTCAATGTTTTTGTTGTAACAAATGACATGATCAAGAGTTGCTTACTACTGCTTTGCATACTATGTTCTTAATGATGAAAGGTTCCTACTACCTATAGTTATCTAATCTATTGTCTTTACTCTAAAGTTCTCATTTGCTCTCTTTCTGCTTATATTACACTTCCCAAAGCACTAGTTGACATGACTGCTGAATCATTAAATGTATGAGTCTTTTGGGTCAGTTAGTGACAAATTCACAATGCTCTTGTTAAATTCTGTATTTTCTGTTGTGTTAATACCAATTTTTTATTTGCCACTGTATTAACAGTCTTTATATAGAAGTCATTATCATTTAAAACATCTTTCAAATTATACCAATCTCTAATTTTTCCTTTTATCACGATGGGAGTTTTCAATGAAAGTGACTACAGGTAGTCTTCTACTTATGACTTCATTTAATGATAGTTCATAGTTAATGATGGCCTTAGATAAAGTGATTTACAATTCCTTCTTGAAATTATGACCACTGTACACTCAGTCAAATGATGGCAAATTAGATGCTTGGCAACTGGCAATGACTCTCATTTATGACAGTTGCAGTATCTTGCAGTCATGTGATTGCAATTTGTGACCTTTCCAGCTGGCTTCTGATTAGCAAAGTCAATTGGGGGAAGCTGGATTGATCCAGGTCACATAATGGCTCACTTAATGTCTATATTGTTAGCAACAAAAATTCTGGTCCCAATTGTCATAAGTTGAGGACAACCTGTATATTTTACTTGCAACAGTATAATGGATTGGTGATGTATTTTAGTTATAACATGAATGTAAGCTTAGATTTGAATTTAGTGAATCAGCAGGATTCTTCCCATCAATTTAATTTTAAAACAGGTAGATTTTCACTAGACTTCCATTCTTCCTTGCCAATATAACTTATCAATATCTTCAATAACTGAATTATGACATCAGAAAATTTCCTTTGCAGAAAGATTTTAAAATTTTAAAATACTACTTTCAAAAAACTTTTAAGAACCTAGAGATTGACATCTGCTTAAATATACTGGATAATATAAACCTAACAAAATACCTTGTAGATATATCTAAAAGTTGTTTGGAGTTCATGAGATCCATTGGAGCTAGCTAGTAAGAAACTGGCAGACTGAGGACAAGGAAAGAACATATGAAGCCCTATAAGGTCATAAACAATGAAGGCAAAGTGTATTATATAAGACAGCATTTTAAGTTCCCACACTGTCTGCAGACTTCTTACTGCTTTTTTAGGCCTGTGCTAACTTGGTTAAACCTAAGCTAACTAAATTTTCTTGGTTTCATTTTGACTGTTGGAGTTGATATGATCATCAAAAATGAAGTATTAGAGGTACATGCACAACCGAAGAGCTATAGCTAAGGTTGTAACAAAGAGCACAGCCCTATTCTTTTATTTTTCCTTTCATTAATCTTAAAGGAATGAAAATATGATGTATCCATTTCTGGCTGGTATAGGTGGACGTCTGATAAAAATGAATGAAGTTTTATCTGGTTGGAGATTTCTCTGAGCAAAGCCTGGGAGCACATGGCATATAATGTGAAAAAAAAACACCAGTTTTTTGAGTAATGAATTAAACATTTTAAAACTCAAATCATATTTCTTCCACAAATTCAGTCTGAGACAATCCATTCTTACCCATTTTCTGCATAGCAACAAACTATGTTTCAAGGTTAAAGCAAAGTATAAGTGAGGCTCTTTATATAGATAAGTGACTGGCAGCATTCAGTATCCTATTTGTAGTTTCCAAAAAGAGAATAGATGGGATGAACTTTAAAAAGCAACATGAGTATTTAAACTCTGCAGAGATATAAGCCACCCATAATACTACTTAAAAAGAACATGAGACTTCTCAATTTGGCCCAATTTTTTCAGGTGGGAGGGTTAGGAGCTAAATTTTGAGAAACTCATTTTTTAAAAAGTCCTGTTCTGATGAAGTTTCAAAAATTATTAGCTTGCCTCCTACAAATTTGGAACAGAACAGAAACTAAAAATGTTTTTCTAATGCAAGCTGTGGCTACTGAGTATTAGTATATTGGATTGAATCAGAGGTTTCTTTCTTCCCCTTTGAGGAGCAATCTTTGTAAAAGATGAAGGAAAACTTGGGATCCACTCTACTATTATTACTATTCCAAATGTTATAGTTGGGGGATGGGTGGGAAGCAAAATAAATATGGCCCAAAACATGGGAAGAAATGCTACTTTTATTTATTGGAATGTGTTCCCCGATTGTTGCTTCTCACCAATCTCTGCCAGTGTAGTCCTGAAACAAATATTTAGATACATTCTTGCAAAAGATATCACTATGAATTCTGTTACTTCTATTGTATTTTTATAATATTCAAAGTATTATATAAAAGGGAGATTTGGAAAGATTCTATTTTTCTATTTCCTTGGCTTAACTATTAGATGGCATGGATATTAGATTAAATAATTATGCAACTCATATTTTTTCTGGTCTGAATGAAATGTACATTATTATTATTATTATTATTATTATTATTATTACTACTACTACTACTATTATTATTAATCTAGGTGAGGTTAGGGGAGAGAAAATTCCAGGAAAAACTCTTTTATTAATTTTATACCTATTTGTATCTAAAGGATAAAATATATTTTGCTAAAGTTATAAATCGTAGAAATGAAAGGTATGTTGCTCTTTCACAGAGACATGGCTCCACTGTGTTTATTTTATTTTTGCATTGTCTAAAGAAGCAGATTTAAATTGCCTTTAACAAGATGTCATAACATTTTTGCCAAAAAGTAAAAGATCACTATTCTTTCAGCTATTAGCCAGGAAGCTTTGAAGATATAAAATCATTATTTAAAAGAGGTTATTTTTTTTTAATTAGAGGGAGAGAGAGAGAAAGAAAGAAAAAGAAAGAGAGATAAAAACAAAGGCCCAGAAGATGAATAAATGTTATGCCTTTAGGAACTTTTTCTGTGATATTGATATCAAGCCTTTCTCAAAGTGTGTGAATACAATCCCAGAATAGTTGATAATACAGTGTTATCCCTCTTGAGGGCAACAAAATGAATCAGACTATTATTGGTTTTAAAAGTGCTACAATTTGATAGAAAGTATGGGGCAGTTTGCTATGTAAGGCACAGAAAAGAAATCTTGTTTTAATAAAAGAATATAATTTTTGATTTACATATTTATAACATTGTGATAGGGATACCACTTTTCCCTATCTCAGGGATACCAATACTTCTCTGTGTGGAATTGTTTGTTTTGAAGGTGGCTCTCAACCTCAAATCTACCATAGAAAGAATCAAAATGTAAACTTTAGTTATTAGTGTCAGTAAAAACTATTATTTGTGCATTTGCAAGTACAGAAATGTAGGATCTCATCTGGGTGCACATTTTTGTTAAGTAAATAGTATTAAGGAATATAGGATAGAGACATTAAAAGTTTAATTTCTGATCTCTGTAAAAAAAATCTTATCTCCTTACTGAGGGAATACCTTTGATTGATATTATTGGCCACCATCATTTTTAAAAGCAACAAGATTTTCTTTCTATCTTTAAATCTTAAGATTCAGATTCAGGAATTTTTGAAATGATTAGTTTTAGATAATCTACTAGTGGGTTTTACTCTGCAGTGAAAAGTAAAGCTGACAAATCACATTTGTGCAAGGAAAACCGTAAACAAAAGTAATATTGATTTCTTTTCCCACATCCTATATTACAGTACATGAATTTCCAAAAACTATAAAAGATTTTTTTCCCCAACTTGGAAATCTGCTGTCTATATTCTGTACACAGGATACAAAGAAAACTAAGGATGAAAATAGAGGACTTTCCTTAATTTTAGCACACAGACTAAGCATTGTCATGAAATATATTACTATACCTTAAATATTTTTTGAGAAATATAAGTATCTTAAATTTTCATGGCATAACTGTATCTGCATTTTAAAAAAAGAATCATGTAATATTTTGATGCAATAACGCTGTTCAGTCATTTAGTCATTCTCATTTATTTTGTCAAGATTGTTTGCTGATATCCTTTTCCTGAAGTTATTGTAAATTCATGTGTTTCATCCACACTATCTAGCTGCTTGTCTTCTGCTAGTCTAGTTTTCTATTGCCTACATTTTTCCAATCTCCATAATGCATAAACTTTAGCTCCCTTATGAGCGCTTCCAGTGAGCAATCTGGTTTTATTTCATTGTGTTGTATAATTTGTTATCTTGTAATGCAAGATATTCTCAACAATTTCTCCCATCTTTTCAATTCAAGGCAGCAATTTTTCTTTGTTGGATCTTTCTGATAATATCATTCCCTCTTAAAATTGGGGAAATCATGCTCTTAACAATACGTACATTTGTTTTCAGTGTGTTATGTTAATGGTCTTTGGCTCACTTTAATATCTTGCCCTCCACAATACTGAAGAACTGTATAGCAACATTCCTTCTGCAAAAAAACCCTGCCACTATAGGAACCTGGGACTCAATCCATGTGTTTCTTTAGTATCTTTGTTTAGCTATTTGTGCCCTACCCACATAACTCATTTGCTAACAGAAAGATGGCTTAGTTTTATATTATTGGATTAAAATTTAACATCTCCAAAAGTGTTGCAAAATTTCATGCAGTTGCTATTTGCTTTATGTGTCGAAATATTATCTTAATTTTAAGATTTTATAACTATATAAACATTATAATTTTAATTTATTTTGGACCACAATGAAATTATACTAGAAATGTCAGTCTATCTATACCAGTGGTTCTCAACCTTTTTAATGCCGCAACCCCCAACCGGTCGTAAGTCGAGGACTACTCAACCTGTCGTAAGTCGAGGACTACTCAACTGGTGCAGCACCGTTTGCAGAATGGAACTTTTGGTGGGCTCAGCAGGGCAGAGACAGCCTGGACAATTCCTATTGGCTTTTGAAAGCCAATAGAAGTAGACTCTATTCAAGAGAGTCTATTCTATTGGCTTTTAAAAGCCAATAGAATAAAAGGGAGTAGCACAGCTAAGGAAAAGGTGGAAAAAAATGGCGGACTGCGTTGTTTGACGACCCCCGTGAAATGGTCGTTCGACCCCAAATGGGGTCCCGACCCACAGGTTGAGAACCACTGATCTATACAGCAGATATCTCTATTTCATGGCTTCAGCCACAATGCCTGTGAACTTTTTTTTAACTCTAGAAGGATAAGATCTATTACTGTTTGCCTGCCTATTTGCAATGACCTGGCATTGCTTGATTAGTATTCTTTATCCCTTCTTAAGAAGTGATCCCTTAAGTCATCTTTATTTTTAGCCTTCGGTACTTCGGTATTGAGGTTAGTGATGTTTTCCCCAGCAATTCTGATTCCAGTTCTGTTCTTCTAGTCCAAAATTTCTTGATATACTTACATATAAGTTAAATAAGTAAGGTAACAGTATACAATCTTGGCACATACCTTTTCTAACTGTATATAGTTTGGTTGTTCCATGTTTGCATTGATTCTGTTTGCATTGATTATGTAGAATTACTGTATATCTGTTTCTCTTATCTGGAAATCGATATTTAGTTGGGCAGATTTTCCTCTGTTGCTTTTGATTTTTCTATTTCCATGACTATTTATAAGATATTATCAGATACCCATTTTCTTTTGCCTTGTATTTTAATTTCAGAAAATTTTTGTTTACTTTTTTAAAGAAATCATAAATTTCAATCTAGACTGCTTCAGACAGTCTAGATTAGTGATGGCGAACCTTTTAAAGACCGAGTGCCCAAACTGCAATCCAAAACCCACTTATTTATCACAAAGTGCCAGGGGCCCATCAGCATTGTGGTGCCCTTGGGGGGACATGCAAAAACCAGGGGCACAAAAACAGCCACCGCCATGCCACGGGATGCAGATACAAGGCGCTGCACCAAGCAAAAATGGGGCAGGGCTAGTGAGTATCATGCAGGCACTAGCCCCACCTCATTTGCAGTTTGTGCATACTTGTGGCCCTGTGCGCACATGTGCACATGTAAAATACTTCCTCCTCCATTTTCTTTCATTCCGCTAATCAACAGTGGTTGGTGACCTCTGCTCTACCATCTCTACTGGACCTTGCTAGTCAGCCGCTTTGCTTCCTTTGTGCTGGGCGGGGCTCCTGCTCCGGGCGGTGGTGGCAGCCTGATGGACCTGCTGCTGGCGACAGCACGCATGCCAACAGAGAGGGTTCTGAATGCCACCTCTGGCAAGTGTGTCATAGGTTCTCACCACTGGTCTAGATTATTTGTTTTCTCAAAGCAAATAAAACTCCTTTGCAAGAAGGAGTTCATGATCTGAATGCCAGTCATAACCATGTATTGTTTTTGCTGAATGTCTGGAGTAGATTTTGATGTTGTTCACCTGGAGAACTGCACACATAGAATCATATTGGAAGGAAGTATTTGCTGCAGACGTGGAATTTTTATGCAAAATTCTTATTAATACCTTACCTATTAGGTATGCTAAGGCTAAATTTTTGCATTATGCCATTTGCTGTTTTACTTCTAGCATTCAAACCTCCCATAATTAATATTTCATAATTAATTTTTTGGAAGTGCATTGTACATTGTTGTACTTGTTAGCAAACTATGGCAAATTTTCATTGTACAGTTCAACTTCTGTGTCTGAAGGATAGATTTGGATTACCATAATACTGATTGGTGCGCTTGGATCCACGTGGAGATTATTCTATCATTTGGGAGATTGTATCTGAGCTCTCATTTTTCACCTTTTTTCTTAATAATGGTGACTATTATATTTCTTCTGTGATTTCCTTGTCAATAGTAGATGATTTTATGATTCTCTGACACGAGGTGCAATCAGTTTTAGTTGATTCCTACTTTTTACTCTAAAAACATGAGATTTGTTTTGGTTCATGGTTCTTACATGTATCAGTGTGAGGATATCTTTGCAGCATCAAACTTTCCTTTTGCTTCCGGTTATAATAGCAGCTGGACATCATTTCAGTTTTAATCTAGCCACATCATAAACACCAGTGCTACTCATAACATTGTCCTGATTGTGGATGTTCATTTGGGGTTTTTTTGACAGAATACTGGAGTGGATTGCTGTTTCTTCTGGGCCACATTGAGACTAACCTTGTCTATAATCTGTTGATCATGAGTGACCCTTATGGGAGTCCGCCCTGATATAGGATAGCTCATAGCATTACTGGACTGTGCAAATCCCATTACAAGGTAACTGTACATGAAGAGTAATATGTTGTATATTTAAAAAGCAGGGTGATAACCAATCCATCAAGTATTTTTAAAGCATATGTTACTATAAGTACTGATTTCCCAGATCTGAAGTTGACTTTTTGCTGCTAATGGAGAACCAGGGCAAGCTATATTCAATCTTTCCACTCTCCCACCTTCAAATATTACCCATTGCTATTAAAATTGGTGATTTCTTTGCCATTACTGAAGTAGTTTACAAATGAACGAAAGGAACAATTTTCACAGTTCTGATTTGTCCATGTGCAATGCAGCAATATTATTAAATAGGATACTGAATTGCAAGGGGAAAATGCCAACAATGGCCACCAGGTCCATGATCTCTGCAGCCTAGGCAGCTCCAAGATGCCCAGCATATCACTTTCATAGTCCTCAATTTGGGAATTCTGTGGAAAGAAAGAAAATAATGAATAGATGGATGGATGTTGTATTGCTGTTGTTGTTGCTGCTTACCTATCTAAGAAGTTGGGGTAGAAGGGAGAAAAAGGGGAGGCTTATAAGAGAGCGGCACATATGAAATGGTAGTTGTCCTATTTATTTTTTATGTAAAGAAATCAAGCATAAAAGCACTGTCTGCATGAGAAAGAGAAAGAAATGGAGAAACAGATGAAACTGGATGGCTAAAAGCATCTTAAGCTTTTAAGATCATTCAATACCTCTATATTAGTTTAAAATGAATTGTACTTATCCAAGATTATTGATCAATTATGGACATATTTAAATAAATGTTAGCAAAGCATTTTCATATTAAGTGCTACCTGTACATAAGGTTGCTTCATGCATCATGCAGGCAATGTAGTTGCCACCAGAAATTTCATTCTTACCTATTAGACCTCTATGCCCACAATGCTAACAAAATCATGCAAGGGTATTTTTCTATCCAAGGTTTGTTGATGAAGTCAAAGCTGGTTGGATTTGCACATATTAAGTCAAAACCTGTAATTTATAAATCACAAGTGGCTGAGTTTGCACAATTAGTTTTACCAAATCTAAGCAAACGATAACATGGTTTAGTGTGATGCATGGGATATGAGCTCATCCTCTTTTGATCAGTCATTATATAGAAATCTAGTCATCCCCTCACAGAGCTTGCTTTCAGTGCTGCAGTACTCATCTAGAGCATTGCTATGCCAAAGTTGCTTTCAGTGACAATTGTATCATTTTGTAATAACTGAAATAGCCTTTGGAGTGAATATTTATAAGTCTGGATAACTGGAAAAACATTTTGATACCTTCTTGAGAATCAAAGGCATATAGGCAGTCTCCAGGTTACACAAAGGTTTCATTATAGGAATCCAAGTATAAGATCATAATAGCAGTAATAATTTTTCACATGTACAAATACGTTGCCTGTCATTTTTCAGATTTGCAAAATGCGGGCTGTCACTCTTTTGTCCCTTTCCAGTCAAAGCTTATTTGACTGGGTCAAAATATCTTGATCTTTATTTTCTATGAAAGAATAACAGCAATATACTCTTCATTTTAAATTATTTCCAGGAATAAGTAGTGATAATCATACAGGGAAACAGTAATTTGACTATATGTTATGTGTTTTGAATAATATGTAATTTAAAACTATTGGATAAATGTTAGCTAGTGTTTAATTAGTTTAGCATTTGGTGTATTGAAACCCAGTTGGTGATACAGAACTATTCAAATCTTCTAGACACATCCTGCTAGCAAACATAGGCTTATATACGTTACAAATCACAAAAAATTAATCTTTTATCAACATTTCTGAATGTCCTGACTTTATTTATTAATTTTTTGTCACACTTGGATTTTATTTCTACTTTTTCCTGAAAGAAAAAAGCACATTTATTAAAAATATCTTTTTATTCCATAAAAATCTCTTACGCTGTCAACAGTTTTTGATGACACGTGTGATTCCTAAGGCTCCATATCTAGTCCTTGGGCTTGTGGTTAAAAGGATCTAGAATACATCCTGGCTTGCTACCATCATCAAGGGCAACACCTGTAATAACAATTCACTTTTTGGTTCATCCCAAATATCCTTGAATTAAGAATGTGACAGAGAGAGGGGTATCAAGGCAAACTTATATCCATCTACCCCTTATTTAACTCCTCTGAAGATCTTTGTAGATTGATCCAAAGGCCTTCACAGATATTGGAGACATATTTACCCGAGCTTGTTTTAACACTCTCTCAATTTTAATCCAGACAAAGCAATGTTTCACATAGACTGAACTGGAGGCATTTCTATTACTGTCTCCTGAAATTTGATAAATAATGTGCAAAGATCTGCAGAGGTAATCCGAAGTGCCCACTCTTGCTTCTACTGTTCTTTTTACCTTTACATGGGGATGTTATCTCATTGTAATAGAGTACACTTTTATATTCTGCCAGGTTGCTTCCTACTGCAGGCTTTGTTCTTATTGGATAGTTGGCCGAGGGAAGAGAAAATATTTAATATCTACCCATCTACAAAGAATCGAACATAAAAGAAAGAAGCAAGTTGGAGCAGAGTGCATCATGATTAATATTGCATCAGTAGAATGACTGTGATAACTCAGCTTTCATTAACAAAAATGACTTAATTCTCAGGTTTTCTGCTCTGCCTTCCTATGTCTCTTTAAAATTCAGGCTGAAATCTGCTTCAAACTTTCTTTCTGTCTGTTTCCCAATTTTTTCTGATAATATTCCAATAGTTGTTTTGTCATTAAAAAAAATTCTAGTCCTCCCCCCATGTTGCTATAAAAGCAAAAAAGAATTCTCCTCCCTGATGCTCTACTGAAGGTTATATTTAATTGAGCATCTTACAGACCAGCCACCTGTTTAGATGGTATTGCCAATCCAAAGGATTTGGTTCCTAGGTTTTTCTGAAAAGCAGTGCTTTTTCTTTTTTAATGTCAAGAGTTGGTATTCCTGTTTCAATAGGTTTTCCTAAACCATTGAATACTTTTTCAATTAAGTTTCTGGTCTCCCTTTACTTAAAATAAAAGTATCATGAAAGATAATATCATTTAGATACAACCAAGGTGATTAAATTCTGAAAATAATTTTAAAAGGAAAATAAAAAGAAGTAAAACTTTCTGTTTCTGAGTCTCAAAATACCCATTTCTTCTCTGAAGTGAAACATCAGTCTTTTAGAATAGTCAAATTTGCATTTTTCTTGCTAAATATTTGGAGCTAATTTTTCATTCTGTCTATACAATTATTGGACACTCAGAGGAACTTTATATTAGAAAATATTGTATCTATCATGCAATCACATTGAAACTGAAAATATGTTATTTTGAAGCAATCATTAAGTTATCTACTGTACCACAGCAAATATGTGTACTTAAACATTGCAAAGTATGAATTGATTAAAACACCAGAAATAATTTTATTGATTGTATTTGATTAGCATGATATGAAGCTCAATCTACTATTTTTGAAGTTTATAAAGAGCAAAAAACAAATTACTGTTGTAGTATAATGTACTGTTCCTTCAAATGTAAATTCTTTGTTATTTTTCACAATTGTATGTTATTTGGTTATAAGAAATTATGAAAAACCATTGATGCTTAATGGAATGAGGACTTTCAATGGATCAGATAATATATTTTATCAGATAAATATATTTTACTTGAAATGCTTTAAATTCTGTTTTCCCCAGCTCACTGTGAATAAAGCAACATTTTGTTACCTGAAGTTTGAGCCTATGCAACCTAATATCTATTTGGTTCTGGTCAAATAATTGCAGTTAACATACAATGGCATTGAAATAAAATACACTATTAAAGCTTCTACCATGTATGCATTATGTCAATTAAAGACATTTCAAAAACAATTGGATTCTGTGACATGGAACAGGGTTGGGCAACTTGCATCCTTCTTGATACACCTGCTTTCCAGCTTTTAGAGCCATCTAAATATACTTATGCAATTGCTGAAATAGTGTTTGATGATGACATTTCCCAGTGTACAGGGCAATAAGATGTATATCCTATTTACACAGATAAAGTTAAGTTTTAATTAAATACTATTTAGAATGGTAATTTTCACAATTTTTGTTCTTGCCCCCACTCAGTTTTTGAGTGTAGTCAACAGCAAACTATACAAATATGGTGACCTTTGGCCCCGAAATGGTTACCCAGACCTGATATAGATATTTACATTATAGTTGTGTTATATGAGATATGTGTCATTTTGGGATGAGTGTCAGAAACTTTATCTTATACTAGGATATGGTATTATCATTCTTGGTTATTTGGAAGCAGTGAAAACAAATTACAGGAATGAAGAGTCATAGTTGAATGATTCAGCACATTGTTCTGCAGAGGAAGTAATGATTAAAATGTTGAACTATGACTGGGGAGACCTGTATTCAAGTCCATCTCTGCCATTGACGTTCTCTTAGTTACTTGGGTTATAATTATCACTTTATACTACACAATAACAATTTGAGAATATATGTATGTTGCCTGAGCTTCTGAAGGAGTGACAGGATGAAAATCTATGAACTACATATAGATTTGGTTGTACTGTTTTGAGTTAAAATAATTGAAGAGAATAAGATGAGATGTAACTTGGCATAAGGCAATTTATTCCACTGCACTTTGCTTCTCTTATTCTTCATATGATCCCAATACAATATTGCTGCTTGTACGAGAAGGACTGATGAAGTAGCAGCAACTCTTTAGCTGGGGTCCTTCTTCTGACCTAGGAAATTATTATAGTAGATGAGTGCAGGGCCAGTATTGCATTACAAATTATGCTTATAATTTTTAATGTGGCAGAACAAGAACTCCCATTTATTTTTTTTTCTTATGCCAAGACTGCAGGACCCATCGGATTCATAATACAAGTGTTAGAAAGACAGCTCTAATTTCAGTGTCTGTGGTTTGTGGTTGAAAGTCACATTATGTGATTCCAAGTTTCTGGAACTGGCAATATGAACTAATATCCCCACAATCTCAAATTTGTGAAGATTAGTAGTCCTCAAAATAGCTTCTTTTAATGCAGAAACCTCAAATCCATCATATTTCTATAAAACTTCATTATAATTTCAGATTATAATAATTCTATAGAAGGATTTTTGTGGTTTCCCCCCCCTCCATTAGAAAAAAAATAAACCATTGTTTTCATCTGACATGGAAGCATATAATTATTCCCCTGTTCTTTCTAAAATGATTTTAAAACCATCTGAACCATTAGTTGTCATTTTTTCCCAATACTTTCTTTTCAATTTTTTTTGTTCTGGCCATCACATCTGTTAAACAAATTATCAATATAGCAAGATATCATGTAATATCCAATTTTTTTTACAAGAAGGGCTGTTTGTTTATTGTATTAAATTAGATGCTACTAATAACAAGAATAATTTCTATTATAGAGCAGAAAGAATTTTATCTACTTACTCTGAATAACATTGAGGTGTTGGGTTTTTTTTATAATTCATTGTAAAAGGAAAGGTCAAAACATGCTCAGAAATCACTATAGTGCGAAACACAGCTTACATTTGTCATGGATATTATTAGCCTGGAATTGTTTGGCCCTTCCACTATGAAACAAATATCTCCAGCTTTATTTTGGATGATATTTTGAGATATATGTTGGTGGCAGGAGTTTGTATAATGTGCTCTGTAATTCTCTCCTTTGGCATTTCTAAAGCTTTGCAATGTTTGCAGTAAATATTCATGTTGCAAAAATATCCTCAAAAGTTGCATTCTTGTGAAAAGGTTTTAGCTTCATTTGTCTGATTACAAATGTGCTCTTTTTGTTAATCACACGAGATCATGGAATTTCATTTGTAACCTTTGCTTCCTAAATATATTATTGTGTATTCACACATCTTGACTACAAAAGATGATTTTGTTCATGATTGAGCTATTACAGATCGTTTACACTGATAGCATTTGTCTATATCTGTGTGCACGTGTGTATGCATTTATGTATACTAGAGGTTCTACACACTTACATTAAAATGGTTTTTCTGTGCACAGGAATAATATATTCAATAGCATAGAAAACTACTAAAAGCTGCTTGTAATGCAGATAAATATGAATGATGATGAAGAAGAAGAAAAAGAAAAAGAAGAAAAAGATTACACAGAGGTTATGGGAAGAAAGAAAGATGACAAAGTGGTTGCAATCTTTGAAACAAGTTTTATTAAAATCTTCTCATACTACCTTTCATTTTATTTTAGTGCCTTTCATAGAGGTTATGTTCATACATAATAACTCAACTAAGTTTTTTTTACATTTAATTATTAAACAGTCATAGTCTATTTCACACCTAATGTGAACAGATTGCTTTTCATGTTAGGCTAAATCATAAACAAACTATATCAAGGATTAACATTATATATGAGCCAAACTCAGAACTTACCGAAAAACTTACTTCCTGAATACTTAAAATTTTTAAGGTATTATTTTTGTCAATGGTATTCAAAATAAAATATAGATCAGTCCTTTTTACATGGTAAAACATGTAGTATCACTTTAAAAACAAGCTATGTTAGGAGCATAAATGTTATTGGTTAGTATTTATTTATGACATTGGAATTGGGAAGAACATTAAAAAATACAAAACCAAAATAATTACATTATAAGTACTTTGCAATAGTTCCCTTTTTAATGTCTCACAGTTCTTTAATACTTCTGTCCCATCTATGTTATTTATGGTCAGTATCTGTTGAAAATTTCTTTTTTCCACATGAGAGAATAAGTATCAGAATAAGGGAAATAATATAATAAGATTAATTAAAAAGTTTCCATCTTTCTTGTTCAGCTGTAACTATTTCTAAATATCTTTTGGCATAGTTTCATTTATTTGACTTAAAACTAGTGTTTCTGTTCAAATTCACATGCAAGTACAAAGGAAACAAAAAAAAAAATCCATTCAACATTATTCAAACATTTTAACATTTAAAAGCCCAAATTTGAATGCTAATCTTATTCATGACTCTTAATAGCAAAGAATTCAAAATTAATTCCAGAGGGAACTGAAATGTCAGTTGTAGAAAGGGAGAAAAAAACTCTGATGGTTTAAATTGAGTCTGGCTTTGTAATATGAGACAGACAAGGAAGAAAAGTGGTTGTATTATCTGGCTTCTAGAAAAAAACATTATTCCTCCAAACAAAGGATTCAGAAGAATGCTACAAAATGGAAGAAAAGTTAGAGGCCAAATAAAACAGAACATATTTTTTGGGGTGGGAATTGGTCATTAAAAAAACCATTAAAGTCAAACCAAGGAGAATTTTAGACACAATTATAAATGCATGTGATAGAACTGCTGATTGTGAAAATTTTCATCATTTCTACGCATGGATAGAAATGTTCTATGGATGAAACAAATATGCACCTTTTGAATAAAAAAATGTTTATATTTCTATATTGTGTGCTAGCTATAGTTCAAGAAAATCAACTGTACATACAAGTCTCCAATTTTTCATAGTAATAAAAAAAATTCAATAGAAATTCCTTTGCTCTATTTCTCTAGCACCAGATTGAAGTAACCTCTTCAGATAAATAACTTTTATAGTCATGCAAGGATAGACAGTGGTTAATTATATATTTACTGTTAAGAGAACATGGAGTAATATCATAAAGGTTGTGCACTTCTGCGTCAAATTGACCTGAATCATGATGGAAGCCTTATATCAAGGACAATAAATCTGAATTCATCTGGAAACTAGAATGATCAATTCTAAATTAATTATATGGAATTTTCCTGCTCAATTTGGGAAGAATTGTGTGTTGCAGCCTGCAGGTAGCTATAATCCAGGTGATCTTGTTAGAAGGAGAGCACAATGCAATATCTCACTTTTGGAAGGGTCTCCATTCAAAATATAATTCTATATTTAAAATAATTAACTGATCAATATTTTTCATTTATGTCAGTGAGGCTAATATTAAAATATATGCATAAAATTACTTCAGTTATTGTGTTTATTTTCCTAGGCCATTGACTTGAAACATTTTAAAAAAGATTTGGGGAGGGGGGAAAATTACATAAAGTGTTGAGAAGGAAGCACTGGAAGAAGACGTTAAATGAAAATTTTGCTTCAAGTTCTTTCCTGCTCAAAGCTTCTCAGTAAATGTTTGATAAATTCAAATTTATTTATAATAGGAGAAGGAAAGAAGGAAGGAAACACCTAGCTAATTAAGGAATTAAAAAGAACACATTAGGATTAGATTTCTCAAAATCTTTTTTCCCTTAGGTCAGTGGTGGTGAACCTATGGCACGCGTGCCAGAGGCAACACTCAGAGCCCTCTCTGTGGGCATGCGCACTGTCGCCCCAGCCCTGCCTCCTCCCACAGCCCTCCCTCACCAGCAGCTCCCCGGAGGAGAGTCGTCCCCAAGCGTGGCCTGCACGGAGCAGTGCAGTCAAGGACATGGCGGCCAGGCAGCGGGGACAAGGCTCTGCCCTCATGCTCCATCACATGCAGATGATGATGTGGGGTGCGGATGGAGGGCATGCTTGCCATGGTACTGCTGGGCTGCCTGGGCGATCTTCGGCAGGCCATGGAGGTGATGGGTGGCTGGGTGGGTGGGGTGCATGATGGGGCTGGGGCAGGCAGGGTGGGGGCAGAGCCAGTTATGAGGCACTCAGTCTCTAAAAGGTTCGCCATCACTGCCCTAGGTTGACTCTACTGTTGGAGAAAAGTTGAATTGTTCCCTTGCTATTCTCCAGCAAAGATCTATTCATCCTGCTTTATGGATGAATAGCATACACTAAAAGCCTGTTACAGGCAACACAATCAGACCTGTTTTCTGCTTATATGAAAGGTAGGACATTGG